CATTTGTTTTAACATGCATGATGACCACGACATGCATGAACATATATATGATTCTATCAGTCATGCAATTGATCTCCTCGAGTTCATGAAATTTCAAAAAAGGTTACACCAATCTAATGAAGGATTATAACACACTTAATTAAATTAAGAATTATAAATAAATTTTTAATCCATATGATATAAATATATTCATGTGAAATTAAAAAAACTCACAAAAATTTTACATAGGCAAAATCCTTCAAAATTCACGTGCAATGCCTCAATTCTATCTCCTAGAGAAGTGATGGCTTCTCCTCCCACCATTTTTCATTGTTTTTCTTGTAGAAACTTAAGATACCCTATTGACAAATCAATAGATATTATATATAGGGAGTTTGTATAATCAGACTAGAATTCTAATTGCATGTTGCATGAGACTCTTTTGGGATTTTAATCTCTTAGCCAATTGAATTTAAATCAATTTAGGATTGTAGTCAAAACCTATCAATAGAAAACAATCTCATCCAAGAAATTATGGATAAAATTGTGAGATCCCTCAAACCGCAATATTTGTATAATAGTCCTCCACCAATTAATATTTCATACAAAATCTAATCAATCTAGATTTCTTATAACACTGTTATCCAAAAACTTATACATGTGTCTCCTTAATGTATTTAGATAATTAAAAAAATTTTGAAAATATATTTTGAAATAATTTTAACTTTCTAAAATTGAATTTAAAAATATTTTTTTAAATTGACCGACCAAATTTTTATCTAATGTAAAAGAGACATAAATTTAAATATTCTCTTTTACGATAAAAGTGATGGTTCCCTATTAGATTACTATAGTTTTCTTGTGCTTTTCATATATTCCAATATGTCTGTATATATACCATTTATTAGGCATTACTGGTTGATAATATCAAAACTAAATAACTAATACATAAGATTAAATAACATCTTTAGGTCTAAAGACTTTTTATAAATTATAGATAGAATAACCTTTTCTTTGACAATAATTAATTGAATATTATTTTATATAGCCTCGTTGAATATTTGTGTTATACAAATACTAACTATATTACTAAGAGTCTCTACTCTAGTAGTTGAGATTCACCACTCTATCATTTATAGTTGTACAACATATGGCAATCAAGTTAAACATATTGTCCAAAATATGCTTATAATTCTGACCAATTTTAAGATCATCAAATCTTTTCATTTGATAATCTTCATAATCAACATGATTTATTAATGTATGATCTAAAGATAATAACATTTATTAAATCACTTAAAAAAGATCTGTATATAAATAAATAATAATAACTTTATAAAACATACAATTCTTTTATCTAATTTATAAATTCATATGTATTTTAGACATTATATACATTCAATCATTTGTTTACAAGGATATAACTTGTATGGGAACTAAAATGTTTGATAACCTCGAAAAGTACCCACATACATAATAGGCCATGCATCCCGTCCATGCTTGCATGCATGCATGCATGCATGAAAATCTTAATTGGTATGCATTCCCCACCGTAGAAAAGGCTTAAGATTTTCCTTTTTGATGACCGAAAGAAAATCCATGATGGTGCAAAGGTGTAGTAACAATCAACCCAAACCTTTTAATTATTTTGATGTGAAGGATCAACCAAAACTTAAATCGATTTCCCGAACAAAAAGTTCATTAAAGCGACTAACTTTGCCTGGCACCTCGGAAAATGTTGATGGGCAAAAAAAAAAAAAAAAAAAGGGAAAAAGAAAGTGACTAACTTTAGTTGAGGAGGTCCAAACAAATCTGTACGTGTGTTATATGCCTCATAAAGCATCTATGCGACCAACAAAAACCATCATTCTTTCCATTGCATCATTGCAACATGAAAACAGTATTAAACAGTGCATAAGCCCAGAACCAACTTAATTTATGAATCATGGTAATAGTGTAGTGTCGTAACTATATATTACAAAAGAAAACAAATAAAATTTGTGACAAATTTGGATGAGATTTAAAGAGTTTTCAGGGTCTAATCAGTAACAGGCAAAAAGATATTCTCATTATAAGAAAAAGTTTGGTATTTATCCCACACTTATGGCCCTAAAAATGGAACTGATGTCACGTTAAGCTGAACCTCTCGTTCAAGATAAAAACTTTCGTCAATTTTTTTTTCTTCTTCTTTTCCAGGAAAAATCATGGCAAAAAGACATGGCAAAAGGAAAGAAAAGGGCGATATTCGTTACCCCAACAAATTTTGCTTTATTTCGTGCCAAGGCTTTATTACAAGTCGCCCTTTTCTCTCAAACATAATCAGAACACAGAAAAGTGCCTAGAATATTGTCACATTTATATGTGTTCTATATGAGACGTTAATAAAATTTTGATATGTTAAAAGATAAGGATCAAGTGAGTTTTGTTCACATTAATTATAAAAATACTTTATTTTACTATCTCAATTATATTAGATTGTAAATTAAAAATTATTAAATAAAAAAAATTATTAATATCAAAAGATTTATCTCTTATTTAATGATTTTAAATTGTATAATTTATTGTAATATGAATTACACAACACTTTTTTTTTTTGGTTAATTATACATAATGGGGAATTATTTGTTGCACGAAAAAATTGTCTCCATAATACAGACTCAATATTGTTGGTTTATTATTATTTATCAAAAGAGGAAGATCGATCTTCTCCAAATATTACATTGATTGGATGATCCATCTGGTGGCATGGAAGCAATCAAACAAAGCAAAAGGAAAAAGAAGTAGGAAAAGGCCTGGGAATATGTTGTGGAAGAATTTCCTTTGCCTTTTGGTAGCCCAATTCTGCGAATGACAGGGTGCCACGTAGGCTCAAGAATATGTAGACACGTAAGTGGGCTTTTTATATATATTTTTTTATTCTGCTTGAACTAGGGGCTTCCGCTCTTGCCGTGGTCCAAAGGTGAAAGGCCGTTAGCCCACACATTTTGTGAGTCTGTGTGGTCTAGCCCACTGCTGATGGTGAGACCAGCGGTGGCTGTGGTTTTGCTTCAATTACTCATACTATTTACTAACTACGTATTAATCTAAATGGAAAGAATTTAATTTTTTTTAAATTAAATTTTAAATTTAAGTATTGTAAATAAAAAAATATATTGTGAAAGAGCTTTTTTCTTATGGGATTTTAATATGATTCAATTTTGAATTAGTTAAAATATAATGTAAATTTATGATACTGAGAGATTAGTAAAAAAAAAAAAAAAAATCATACCACTTGCTATTGGTAGCCAGCCAAACACAATCTAGGTATATTCTTCTGTGTCTTTGTTCATGTGTTTTGCTTACACGTGTGCACATACTTTCCTTCCTTTACATTCTTGGGTTAAGAAAATTGTGTTTTCATTTCAAACTGAATGCAATTTGAACTATAAAAATATTTAATAATTTTACTGAATAAGCCTTTATATATAGTTCTCACTAAATAAAATTGATTCCCTTAGGTTTGTGCTTAATTTTTTCTATAATTAAAAATTTTATTATTTATAAGTATAATAGGTATTCCAACCCAAAAATATATATGATTTAAACTTGAAGAAGAGAAAGCAACATGGTAAAAATTTAAGATTCCCTATCCCTAGACTTCTTCCAATAACAGGGGCTCCTACTTCACATTAAACTTCTTTAGCACACAAAAAGGGAAATAAGCACCAGTGCGCAAAACCATGTTATGAGTACCTGTATTTGAATCTAAAACCTTTTGTAAGTATGGTATGTTGGAAGCATGTGTCTCCTCTCCTTACAAATTAGAGCCAATATTCAATCTAAAGTATTTGTGATAGCACTATGTTTAAAAAAATCAGATAATTTTTATTATATCTAGTACTCGGCACCATTATTAATATAATGTGTTTACAATTAAAATGTCATAAATAATAATGAATAAATTTAAATTAAACGTTATGATTTTTATTTTATTTTTTATAATATGATTGACATATTGTGAACAATTTATTAGTAATTTAAATTAGTTACATCTAATGGAGTTATTACAGGATGGACAAGAGTCATTATTAAGAATTTGATGATATCACATTCGTAGAATATTATTTTTTGGAACCTAAGCATATACTGCAAAACATTTTTGGCTAGTGAAATTACCTTCTTCTTCTTTTTCTTTTTTCTTTTTTTTTTTTATTTTTGTATTTTTTTATA